ATGATAGCGGTTTTCAAATATCTAAAAGGGTGTCACAAGGAGGAAGGCGAAAATTTGTTCCTCTTGGTTTCTGAGGACAGGACAAGGAGTAATGGGCTGGGGGTGTGTGTGCAGGGGGGTGGGGTGGGTTGGGGTGTGCAGGGGAGGACCATGGGGTGGGTTGAGGAGTTTGCTCTGAGAGCTGTGTTTCCATTCCCAGACCTGACATGCTGGACACCATCCCACCAGGTGGGTGGGGGTGTGGGATGGAGATCCTGGAGAGTGTACGAAGGGGTGTGTTGGGGAAGGGACTTGTGGTTAGATTGTGAGAGAGGCTTGGGGAGTGTGAATGTTGGGGTTGGCGTGTGGGGTGATTTCTGGTGGGTTGAGAGGATCGTGGAGGGGTGAGCTAAGGAAGAAGGATGAATGGGTGCTGGTGGATGGAAGGATATGTGTGAATGGAGATATAGGGAGGGATGTGATTGTATAAAACACTGTTTAGTTCTCATATTGGACATGTGGGGCCATTTATTTTCCATATAAAATCTCACAGCAACTGTGGTACTCTTTGTTTCCCAGTATTCTCTCCCTCTATAACCCAACGCCAGTACCCTTAAATCCCACACCATCGTTGGTAGCAGAAATCTTACCAAGTGTTTTACTGTCCTTACAGATGTGTTCATTTCCTTTACAGTCATCGGTCATCTCTGAGGTGTTTCATTGTCAACCAAACAAACCACTATTCCCTTCGTTCTCCCTCGCCTTCGATTTCTTGCTGCAGTGAAGCCCTTTTGAACTCTTACCAGCATCCAGAAGTGGCTTAAACAGATACAGTTGACTTCCCAGTATATCTGAACTAACCAAATACCAGAATATTTGTGTGCTGTCCCGTTTGAGTAAGTGCCACAGCTTCATACCACTAATCTCACATACCATTTTTCCTACCGTTTCCTCCTATTAGGAGTTCAGTCTAATTTGTAGTACATATGTTCGCATCGCAAGGGACAGCATAATTGTCTCTGTCTTGACGTTAAAGTGGATTCTTGCGGGAATTTTTAAAACCGTGGTGGTGTGTGAGATTGTGAGCTTAATTTCAGGTATGTAGGACAGCAAAAATTCTGTAACTGGAGCTGACTGACACCCATTACGTTAGTAGACACAGAGCCTAAATTGCCATCCGTCCTGAAAGTGAGCTAGAATGGGTTAAGGCAAATGAGCTGAGTCTGGACTGTAGTTTTTGTGCAAAGGTACCATTGTTAGTGCATAGCACTGAGGCTAGCAAAGGTGGGAGCACTGGGATAGACGAGCTGCGGGTGTTTTTATCAGGCTGGCTGTACCTCTAGTAGGTCTAGTCTAGATCAGTGGTTTACAAACTTCTTTTCAGATGACCCAGTTGAAGAAAGTTGATGCCTGTGACCCAGCGGATTTGGGGATGAGGGGTTTAGCGTGGGGCGGGCACTCAGGATTGGGGCCGAGTGTTGGGGTGAGGGCCATGAGGTGGGGCTGGAACAGGGATGGGGAGGCTGGGGCTAGAATTGAGGGACTTGGGGTGCAATTTGGGCTGCAGGAGATTGGGAGTTTGAGGTGGAAACGTATCCAAGGCAGAGCATTCGTGAGAATTGCTGAGTGCAGATATTGCTCTGTATAAATAATAGTAAGTGCTCTATGATTGTGTCACTGACAACTTTCAGGATTGCAAAAGCCAGCAACGCTTCTCTCAAAAAAGCATCGGTACTGCTTAATTATTAGCCACGAGGAAGGATAGGGTTTTGTCCCCGGATGGATAGGGAAGAGATCAGGGCCCAGTTTCTGCTCTGCTTCAGTTTCAGTGTGTCCCTGAGCAAGTCACTTAATCGATCTTGTGTTTCAATTTCCCATCTATAAAACAGGGTCATAAAATACTATCCCACAAGAGAATTGAGGGGAAATTCCATTAATCGTTGTTGAGGTTCGTCAGCACTATTGCCACGAGTGCCCTGACTGTATTTACATGGAACAGGGTAAGCACAGGTATTTGGTAGTGGCAAGTCATCTCCTGTTTTTGATCTGACGGGATTAGAGGGTATTTCAGTTTCCATGTTCACTCAGTCCTTAGTTTCTCTGATAAGGCTGCTGACAAGGGAATTTACTGCCACTAATTACAATGGTGGATTATTTCTAGTGCTGGGAATCAGCAATTTAACTTGTTTCACCTAGCCCACTGAATAGTTATTTAGTAAATGTTACTTCAAGTCACTACTAATCTGGGTTTGGACTGGTAAATAACTGTTAAAAAGAAAAAACCTTTATATTATCGATTTATTACCAGTGCCCGTTTCTCTTTCTCCACATACGTCCTGAGAGTAAGAAGAGTCCCATCCCTTCTGAAAGCGGTTTAGCAGAAAAACTCATTCCTTCCAATGTGGCTAGGGTATGGCATTCACAACAAAAAGCTCACATTGTCACTGCGAACATTTAGCTTTATATTAAAAAACAAACAGCTTCACTAGCCAAACAACACAGCAAAATATGCACATCTTTGGGCTGCTTGCAGAAAGTAATTTTAGTCTGATTGTTCAGTAAGCTTATTTGTGCACGCAAATGAGGACAGGGTTTAGTTACAGGAAAATATTTCTGGGTTTGCTTGAAAGCCAGTTTAAGAAGAACAGTAAGGGTATGTCTACACAGCACCCTAAACTCGAAATAAGATAAGCAATTTGTGCTACACAAATTGTGTATCTTATTTTGAATCTATTTCAAAATAGCTTATCCCTCATGCAGTGAGGTTTACCAAGATGGCAAAATAGCACACTCGTTATTGCGAAAAATATTTTGAAATAACGGACACTTGTGTAGACACAAGGTAGATATTTTGGGTTACCTCCGGTATCCCAAAATAGCCGTGCAGTGTAGACGTATCCTAAGAGTTGTATCTGCTGCTGAATATCAAGAGCTTACTAGCAGAATTTTTTTTTTTTTTTGCATGGCTCTACAAAAAGACACTGGGGGGAAACCTGGAAATTACATATACACAGAAGAAACAATGTCCAAGCAGGTTGTGTATGGTATACGATAATTCCTCATTTAACACATGCATGCTTAATACGTTTTTGCGATAGCACGGTTTTTTTTTAGGGAACGTTTTTTCAGTTACACTACCGTCTCCAGAATAACACGATTTCCCCAGCTGGCCCATTGCTGGTGGCTGCGCAGGGCTTCCCCCGCCTCCCTGCAAAGCGGCGGAGGGTTTGCCGCTTGCCACGCTGTTCCCCGCAGGCTCCCCCGTGCCGGATGCTTTGCCTCCTCTCCTCCGCCCTTGCTTGCAGGCCGGAGGCTGGGTTTTCCCAGCCAGCCCATTGCCAGCAGCTGCACGGGACTTCTCCCATCTCCCTGCAAAGTGGCGGAGGGTTCACTGCTTGCCGTGCCGTTCCCTGGCAACCCCCTCTTGCCAGACGCAGTGCAGGTCCCAGCAGACCCATCACAGGGACATACTCCCAACCCAATCCTCCTCCCCTCTCCTCCTCTTCACTTCCCCTCCCCAGAGCCAAACACCTCCTCTCCTCCCTGCTGTAACCCAGTCCCCTTTCTCCCCCAACCTTATGTCCCGGTCCCAACAGACACCACCGCCTGAAATGCAACTTCCACCTTTTCCATTATTTTCAATGGGAAAATTGACCCCGCATAACACGTTTTCACTTAACATGATCATTTTCAAAAACATATCTATCGTGTTAAATTTGACGGAATATGATTTTTGTCTTTTGATAATTTCCATGGCCAATGTTTATTTTTAAGCATTTTTTTCTATTATTAATTTAAACTTTCACACTTGTTCAAAGTGATGGGGGTTTTACTGATTTAAATTTTCATCGGTGTAGAAAATCATGGAAGGGAGGGTCAGACTATAAATACTTGAGTAATTGATGTTGAGATTAAAAAAATTAAAGCTTTGCCACTGGTAAACAGTCAGAATCGCATGTCAAATATACGAAGTAAATATCCTTAAATCAAACTCTAGTAAATTACCAAGCAAGCAGGCAAAATATGAAAATGCTATCTATACATTTTGATTATTATAGATGGAAATGGGGTTTTTTTGGTTGTTGTTATAGATGGAAATGGCTGACCAATTTGTGTGTATGCATGCTTAAATAGATGTTCACCAACTCTTATAGGTAAAAATCTAATCTTTCCAAGCCTAGATATATGCAGAGAAGGTTCTCCTGTCTAATTCAACCATACTTCCTTATTATTCATGCAAAACGGGGAATGTATAGATAATAGTACGTTCTCAGGTGAATGGTGTCAGGGAGGTGAGTCGGTCACCAGCAGCAGCATACCACTACAGTGTAAGCAGCTTGGCCTTCTATAAAGGAGGAGAATGTGGAAATATATGACATCTTGTCCTTAAAGGCAGATATCTCTTTGCTCATGTGTAAAGTTACATGATATGGTCCTTGAATACATGAACTGTGGAAGCACAGTAATACTTTAATTGATAAAGTGTTGTAGCTCATTTTCCACTATAAATGTGTTTTCCATCTGAATCTACCCCTGCAATTTCTTAATTTTCTGTAAAAATTCATTCTGCCTAAAACGTGAAGTGAGTTATAGTTGGCTGTGGGAGACATTTTTTTTTAGGAAATTGACCAGGTTATTATTTTCTGGGATACTAGATTTTATTTTGCTTATGTCAGGGGAGAAAAGTCTTTTAGTTTGAAAAGGAATAATTTTTTTGAAAGACAAATCTCAGAAAAGGCTTGGCTAGAGAAACTCCTTATTTGCTTTATTTTTGGATAACTAATTTACTGAATCAGAAGTGAGGGAAACATCTTAAATGTAACTGACTACTAAACGGAAAGACTAGATAAAATTGCATTGTTATGTTAGAAAAATACATGAATCAAGAAATGTCTGGATATTGCTCTCAAATGTGGGGAAAATAAAAGTTCTGTTTATCTTTAAAGCATAGTGTGATGCTCATGTATTCTCAGCTGTTTTCTTGTGGGTTTGGAGTAGTTGGTTTTTCGAACAATCTTTTTCTTTTTTAACAAGAGATCTAAGACAGAGTACTGGCTTTGTTTGATTTACTTTCGTTAGGTGTCATTTGTTCGAGTTGAACAAATAAATTTAATTTTAGAACCTACCAACCTTGACAGACGTTTCTTTAAAATGAAGCTTTTTCTGCAGCATTTGAATTCTCATTGTGATAACTGTTAAAACCTCTTGGCCTCTCCCTTAAATCTGTTGATAGAAAAGGCTTGTATTCTTTCTGTTGGACTGCTTATGATAGTAACATTGTGCACTCTTAATTGCAGTGCACTTTAATCACTTCCAGAGTTTAGGACATTTGAATTGAATGTCATCTGATGATGATGATAGAAATTGCCATTTTGGATCACACCAATCAGCGGCCCAGCTAATTAAGTATTCTGTCTCTGATAGGCATCCCTACCAGCTCTATGATGATTCCCTGCCCAGAGAGGAAGTTTCTTTTTAACTGTGTCACTTAGTAGTGCTCTGAATCCAATGTATTGGTCTATCTAATATAATTACATGCTTTTATTCATTAAAATGTCTGATTCTTTTTTAATTCTACCAAGTTTTTAGCCTTTATTTTGTAGTCAAATGTGGTGTTTTTAATAAAAGCTCTGTCAATAAACTTGAGTTTATAGAAAGGCATTCAATTTTCCATAATTTCTATTCCTTTCATTACACATTCCAATATTTTGGGGTTTTCCCCCCTACTTCTGTGCATTGGCTTTCATTAAGTGATGCCAGTATCTATTTCCCAGCATCTTAAGTGAGGGGGGTTCAGATGATTCCTTCCAGTTATTCTTTCTAATCCTTCAAATCCACAGAACCTTATTAATAACAAAAAAAAGTAACTCTATTAATATCGAGTGACATTTTATGTGCACAAAGCCAGGAAATTCAAAGTTATGGGTCTCACATCTGGCATAACTTAGTGCAACGTGTCCAAGTTAACATGCAATTCTCCATTATGAAGATGTCAGTTTCAGCTCCACAGTTTAGAGCTGAGTTTTGCACTTAAAGCAGGGGTCCTGTCCGTTTATTATAAGAGGCCAGACTTAAAACAGCACTGAGATCCTTAACTTTTGGTGTCTTGGTTCCTGTGTGTTTCAACTTTTAGACGTGTAATGCTGCATCAGTTGTTAGATAAAAAAAAAAAGCTGGAAGGAACCATTATCTTGTTTGGCCTTCAAATCAGTTGTTTTTTGTATTTCATCTATACCTAATTGGTTTCTGATGTCACTAAGAAAATAATAGTAAATATTTATAAACTTGCTTTCTTTGTAAATATGCTCTGTTAATTTTGTCATTTCTTTTTCCTAGCACAAACAAGTTATATGCATCATGGCAACTGATTCGATGGAGATTGACGATGGTTTATACAGGTAAGAATGCCATACCTGATGTGCAGGGCTCGCCGAGCCGCGGCGAACCCCGGTTGCCAGCCGTGCTGTCCGGCATTCTGCACATGCGCAGATCGCCCAAACCCGGCTCTCCCGGGGTGTAATCTACTCGCCACGGGCGAGTAGATTACATAGATTGTCGAGCCCTGTTGAAATGCCACTGTAATGTATATCCTTGATAGTACTGCACAGAGGTGCATGTTGCTGTAGTATTAATAACAGGATTTGAAAAATATATTTGCTACCTATTCGCCAGAATTAAAATGTATTGCTGTGTCCCTTGCTTTTTAAAGTACAATACGCACAAATAACACAGTGACTCCACTTGTTATTTAATACTGTTGTTCAAAACCTGTACCGGTTGAACCTCTGTGGTCCGGGTGTCTCTGGTCCGGAAACATTCATGGTTCGGAAGAACCACAGATGTTGTGGGTCTAGAGAGTCCCAGCAGCAGAAGTTGCCGACTGCTTGGAGCAGAGCCAGATGGTGGGACCAGCAAGGCATCAGAGCCCATGGGGCACCAGAGCCCGAATCCAGGGGGGGGGGGAGGGCGGAGCTTGTGGGGCAACCCTGAGGTTGGCAGGGCCACCAGGAGCTCTGGAAGGGCTGCCGTGCTGTCAGTGGAGCAGCTGGGAGCGCTGGTGGTGCGACAGGACTGCCACGAGGTTGGTGAGGCCCCCAGGAGCTCTGGCAAAGCTGCTGCAGTTTGCAGGGCCGGGAGGCTGGGAAGAGAAGCCATGGTGGCTGGGGAGAGAAGCCCATCGGATAGCCTGCTCCTCCAACCCCCAAAGACCTCCCTTGATCCGGAAAACTCCCTTGTCCGGGACCAGTCAGGTCCCAGGGGAGCTGGATCAAGAAGGTCCAACCCGTAATTTAATGTTAGGCTAGCTGAATGGCAGGCTATTTTACTGAAACTTACTTACCGTATAATATATTTGTCCAGCTGGAATTCATATGCAAACTTGACACCATCAGACTGGGTCTGAATAGGGACTGGGAATGGCTCACTTGCTTCCAAAAAAAAAAAAAAAAAAAAAAAAGAAAGAGAAAAAATTCCGTAGAACTTTAAAGACTAATATGATGGTTTAATAGTTGATGAGCTTTCGTGGGCCAGAGCCAGAAGTGGGTCTGGCCTAGGAAAGCTCATTACCTATTAAACCATCTTGTTAGTCTTTAAAGTGCTACATAGTCTGATCTTGCTAAAACAAAAGGAAAAGCTAACATGGCTACCTCTCTACTCACTACAAAAAGTAACAATTCCCCTTTTCCGTGTTCTCACCTTCGTATCAACTGTACGGAGTGGGCCACATCCACCCTGATTGAATTGGCCTTGTTAGCACTGAACCCCTGCATAGGAATGTAACACGCCCGTCTCTCTCTGTGTGTGTATTTATTTCTGTCAAACTGAAGCTTCCTTTTTGCCCACCAATGCTTATGCCCAAATCAAATTGTTAGTCTTTAAGGTGCCACAGTACTCCTCTTTGTTTTTACTCCCCTTATGTGTTGCCTATTTTCTCTTCCTTCCTGAAATCAAATCACATTCATTGTTTCTCTCCTAAAATACATTACAGTTTATATTTTCTTCAGTTATTTTCTATTATTTCTTGTTCTCCTGTTTCCCTCCACCTCTCATTTTTCTTCTTGCCTTTCCCACATTGTACTCTGGGTCCTCCAAAACATAATTTCTGTCTCTTTCTTTTTCTTTCCCCTCTAAATCTGCCTGTGTTACATTTCTCTTTTCTAGCTTACCCACTCAGTCTCTGTGCTGAACCCTGCTCGGGGGCTGCTGACTAGTTCTGCATCTGCTAAACTTGAAACTCCCTGCCTATGCCCACGCAAGCTGCTTCAGCTCATGGAGTTGTTTCCGTCTTCCAGCAGAAATATGCTCCCTTGTAACAGGCTAGGCATTAAATACACCCGAAATCCTTCGAGAACCTATGATCCTCTCATCCAAAACTATCTGAGACTTCTTAGGAGGATGATGGGCTCCTTGAATTTTACTGTCCCCAGAAGCCTCAGCTAGGTCACTTTTTTTCTTTCTTGAAGATGAGATTTCTGTAATTACCGAGAGAGAGACGGAACAAGATATGTAAAGGTGGTGCAGCTCCATCACATAGTGTAGAAATTAAAGTCTTTTGCTTCATGTTTGTAAATCATGACAAACGTATTTTAAGTAAACAGTTGGTCAATTTTAATACCTTGTTTTTATACCTTTTATGATTTTATTTTTCAATATTTGATGGAAGTTCTGAGTCAGATTTTGTCCACAGGTGGCAGAATTGGACCCTAAGATTTCTATTTGCAATTTGTAACTTGTAAGTGACTTGTACAGTGTAACAATCCCATGACCTGACTGTACTGGAACATGATAGCCCAAAAGATGGTGAAGTAGGGAGAGAAATTCCTTAGTTGGGAAGATATAGGTTCTTAGTTAATAATGCCCCGTGTGCCAGACTTGATACTTTAAACATACTGAATTCTGTTACCTTGTAGCAGCATGGTATTTTTGCACATTGCGTTCACTTATACATTTGCCTTTCTTGGGATCCATCTCTTCTTCCCTCCTGCCCCAGGACTCTTCCCTCACTTCACCCCAACACAACAAATCTTTGCGTAGACTAGTTTCTGTAGTACTGATATTTTTAGAAACAACAAACAAATCTAACTTCTATCTCTAGTCATAATCTACAAAATAATTCTCTACACTTGATACAGTAGATGAAATTCAAAATGGTTTAAATGATTGGCTATACTGATATGAAACTAGATGGCTGGAAACCTTAGAGAGTTGAAGATTTTAAAAGTGCCTCACTTGGAGCTGCTCATCACATAAGCTGCTTTGAACTCTGATTTGATGAACAAAATTCCCAGTTCTTGTGCCTGCAAGACATGTAGTTCCAAGTTTACTCTGATGTATTCTGAAGAGAGAATTACATCACAATGAATACAGAACCCACAGTGCCAATTTTTAGGGTAGAACAGCAGGGTTTTCTTTGTAGCTCTCAGATTTTTATATCAATTATGCTGAGTTTGCAACTAAAAGATGTTTTCTAGCTTGTACCCAACAAATTTTTCTTGGCCTCAAACTTTATAATTCCTGTTGCATTACTTTTAATTTGTCTTGTGGAGTTTCTGTGCCTTTAAACTACTGTGCTATCCCCCCTGTTTGTAGACTGTTCTTTGTTATACCTGTGTACATCTTCAAGTGGCTAATGAGGTGGTATAGGTTTTATTGATGGCATATTTGGGTCTGCAGAGCTGTTATCATTGGTGGCAGTGTAAGAGATGGAAAGAAAAGTGCTTGGCTATCAGAATCCAGGCTGACTTTGCAAGTGAAAATACCTGCAACATCTTGAAATAAAGTGTCCTTATTGTCAAGGGAATTCTATTTCGAGGGTGTTGTTTTGTTGCTTATTTTTTGTTTCTTGCTTGTAGTCGGCAGAGGTATGTTCTTGGAGACACAGCAATGCAGAAGATGGCCCAGTCCCATGTGTTCCTGAGTGGTATGGGTGGGCTTGGCGTGGAGATTGGTAAGTTCAGGCCGCAGTTATTTTAAAAAAAGAATATGTCTGTGGTGGGTAAAAATACATTTTGTGTCCAATGTATGCACCTAGAGAAGAACCACAATATGGAATACAGATGTTTTTTGTAGATGATGTAAAGCATTCTGAAATGCATTTGTACTGCTATTTACGCTGTTCAATTGATGCAGAAATTACTGGATGAAATTCTTTGGCGCGTCTTATGCTGGTGGTTTTCAAACCTCAGGTCGCAACCCAGTACTGGGCTGTGAAATGTAAGGTGCTGCATCTCCTTGCTCAGCACCTAAGGATCCTGGTTGCTGGCTAAAGCTGAGTGGCGACCCACACTTCGAAAGGCACTTCTAGTCGCTACCTGTTCTGACACTACGCTGCGCCTCAGAAGCAGCCAGCAGCAGGTGCGATTCCTAGGTGGGGTGGGCCCTGCTCTGAGCACCAGCTCCGCATTCCCATTGGCTGGGAACCGGCCAAAGAGAGCTGAGGGGACAGAGCCTGAGGGCAAGGGCCACACAGGGTTGCTTGCACACCTCCACCTAGGAGCCGAACCTGCTCCCGGGCGCTTCCAGGGTGCAGCCAGTCTGCAGTGCCAGGACAGGAGGGAAGCTTGCCTCTGCGCCACCGCTGACTGGGAGCTGCCAGAGGTAACCCTGTGCCTCTAGCCCGGCCTGGAGCCCGCCCAAACCCAGAGCCCCCTCCTACAACCCAAATCCCTCATCCTCAGTTCTGTTGGGTCATGGACATCAACAATTTTATTCAATTGGGACACCAGAAAAAAAGTTTGAAAACCACTGTTTTATGCAGAAAGCAGAATAGATTAAAATGACTTGAATTTATGGATTTATTCAAGTAAATAATCTGAAACTACAACCCCTAGTCTCATGTGATGTGTGGTGCATAATGGTGAGAATTTGGCCCTAACCAGCCATCTGAGAATTCCTCTTGTATGGAGGATCTTTTAACTGGTACCTCTGTTTTGGATGGGAAGGGGCTTGTCGGTGGCATATTCTTGTGACCTGTCAGCTGTCATAAGGCGAATGCTCTCTTGTATTGACTTTATTGGGAGCGTTATGTGACTCCAGAATTGGGGGCATAGTTTTTTGAAATGGTAATAGTCTTTCTGGGACTAGAGTTCCTGCAGTAATGCTTGCTGGATGGAGGATTACCAGAAAACAAATGCAGTTCACAAGTGAGGGATAAAAAGCACCTTTAGTCTTCTCCAAGATGTCCACTAAGGAACTGAATTGACTTTTTTGAGTTATTTAGAAGTGACTACTGCGAGCTGTGAAATGTGTATGTAAATAGAAGGAATCTGTACGGGCAGGTAACTTTTCAGTCACGTTGAGCTTTATATTAATTATTGTAAATGTTCGTTTTTGTTTGTTTGTCTTTCAGCTAAGAACATAGTTCTGGCTGGAATAAAGGTATGTAAATGAGTTTTCTTGTAAAAGGAATGGATATAAATTTTCTTTTAGTTAAGTAAAGTTTTTGTTTTTGCAGATACTGGAAATATTCTTGTTCAGGGATCATGTTGTTGAGGAATCTACACTTTTATCGAGAAGTGCTGATCAGACAGGCTAAACTTCTTTCAGCAATACATTCTGATTTTCTCCTAAGTCAGCTTCTCATAAAAGGCTCCTTTAAAAAAGAACTCTGAAATACACCATTTAATAAAGATTTGGTCACCTGTTGGTTCGATATCTTGTCTTGGCCATACCAAGATCCTTTTGTACAGTTACTGGTGTGTGGAGTTTTAAATAGTTTTTTCTGTTCTTGTCTAAACAGTGTCATTATGCTTCAGGCTCTGAATTGTTAACGGTTTCTAATGTGGATTAAAGCTCCTTATTCTTCATTCATGCTGTCAGGTTTCATAACAGTGAAGCAGATATATTTTAAAGCTTTTTCTCCAGAAGGTTCCCTTGCATTTGCAGTACCAGTAACTGTAGCTGCACTTGTAATTACAGTGCAACAAAAGTGATTTTTATGCAGCCAGATTAATATATCCTCAGGTATTCTAGGTCTTGCAGCAATAACAATTTCATGTGAATGGGGGAGGGTATCTTTCATTTTTTGTGAAAAAATAAAGTTTCATACTTTAAGCTGGCATTATTATTGTCCTGTTACACACTGAGCAAAATGTAGACACAGTTTCTGAATGAATTATTTAGTGAGTAGCAGTGGGAAAAGGCGTGGGGTCTATTGTTTTTTATTAAAGCAGTACATCTAGCACTTCCTTTTAGCTCACTTAAGCCAGGTCTACACTTCAGAGGAAGATTGAATTAAGATACGCAGCTCCATCTATGTTAATTATGTAGCTGGAGTCAACGTACCTTAATTTGAGTTTCTGTGTGGACTCCACCGTGGGAGATCAATGGGTGCAAACACTTCCGTCGACTTCAGTTACTCCTCGTGAGGAGCAAGAGTACCATCGCTGACAGGGGTGCCCTCTGAGTTCAATTTAGCAAGTCTTTACTAGAACCGTGAAATCGAACTCAGGCAGACTGGCTGCGGCAGTGTTGACTTTCCGTGTAGTGAAGACAAGCCCCGAGTTGTATTGCAATGTTAAGTCCTTCAGAATCTCAGTTTTGAGCATGTGACCTAGACTGGCATATACCACAGCTAAGTGGATTTTTTTCAATTAGTGTTCCATAATGTGTTAGTTTTAATACTTCCCTCCTGAACTCCTTTGAAGGCTCTTACGCTTCATGATACCAAGCAGTGCAAGACATGGGATTTGGGAACCAACTTTTTCATCTGTGAAGATGATGTTACAAATCTAAGGAACAGGTCAGTATAATTATTTAGATGTGTCTGAGCAATCTACTGTCTGTCACATTGAATAACAATAATGTTACTGGCTATGACATACATTCTGTGTAGTATATTTAATGTTCATTGCCTCTTGTTCTGTTGGAATCATGGTCTTTCTCACAAAGCCTAGATGTAAAGGAAGAGCATTCTAAAGTGGGATTAAGTTCTGTTTGCCTTGTGCATCTGACTTCCTACAGCTAGGAGCCCATAAACTGTGATTGTTCTCTTGTAGATAATGAAAGAAGCAATCCATTTCTTTTCCATCTTTCCAATAACTGTCTTATTTTCAGTCTTCCACATTTCCAAAGCAAATACTAAAAAATGCAAGTGACTAAATCTCGCTGTCCAATTGATGGAGGCAGAGCTATCGGAGCACATATGGTAGTTTATTTTGAATGCGAGGAAGCATGAGAAGTCATTTTCAGCATGTTTTATTGTAAAAGAAAGCTATTAAGAAATAAGGGTTCTGGGAATTGAGTGGAGGGATGCCACTGAAGTTGTGGAATTAGCCAAGTGAACTGTATAGTTTGTAAATGGATGAAAACCAAAAGCCGTTGTTTCAGAGCTGAAGCTACATTTCCTCACGTCGCAGAGCTCAACCCGTACGTCCATGTTTTATCATCGACTGCACCACTTGATGAAACAACAGACATCTCCTTTCTAAAACACTATCAGGTACATGGCATTAAGCAGCTGTGCAGTGTTCTACCTGACCATGGGGGAGTGGTTTTTCCTTTGTGTGTGAAGTGAAACAAAAACCCCTACTTCTTTTTTCATCATTTTAAAACGAAGATGAATAGGTATCGTACCTGGACAGCTAAAATATTTTAACAATAATTTTGCAAGATTGAAAGAACATGTTCCTGACCTTGAAATTACAGCTATCAGTAAATAGTTAAATGTCAGATTGGTCCACAAATAAATTTCAAGCACTGAGAAAGGTAAAGATGCTGGATAGTATCCTTAAATGATGAGAACACTTCCTGCTGTAGAGCTAATCTCACGGTCTTGTAAAACTTGTTTTATACTATATGCGCTTTATAACAAGCTGTGACATTATTGAGCTACATATGTTAACATGAAATAAACAGGAATGGCAAAGGCTACTTATATGCAGCGTGGTGAAACTAACGGTGTATTGGCAACAAAGCCCTAATTTTTTAAAAGCATGTTGGTGTGTTTGAAGTTTGGGCATGTGCCAACATCTGAAGTGTGTACAAGTCAGTTGCATTAGAACATATAAGATTGTGCACATTTTCTTTTTAAAAACATTAAGCCAATATTTGTTTGTATTTCCTAACTTTATAACTTTAACCATAAATGCTTGGATTATCATTGTTTTCTTTAAAACAGATAGTCCTTATGACTAGTACAAGCATTTAAATCAGGGGTGGGGAACTTAAGGCCTGGGGGCTGGATGTGGCCCCCCCGTCTTCCCTGGATCCAGCCCCTGAGGCTTGGGGCTCCCCTCCAGCAGTGGAGAGCCCATGCTGACACTCCAGGCCCCCCATGGTCCTCCAATGGGACTGAAGCACACAAAATCTATTAGGCTGCCCCCCCCTCAGACTCTGGTGTGTGAAGGGAATATGGGGAGAGTCTTTTTCCTTCTCAGTCAGGGACCACGTCAGAGAGGATTTGGGGGGGGGGGGTTTGTTTGGGTTTTTTTGCTTCTCACTTGTGTGCGGCCCCTGACCGATTTTTTTTTCTGTGGGTCAGTGGCCCCCCTGACCCAAAAAAGGTTCCCCACCCCCAATTTAAATTGTCCAAATTAGGCTTTGAACCTGACTACTCACAGCAGGGGTTATTACACTGTGCAGGAGGAATGAATTCTCCTTTGCAGTCGCTATTTGACATGAGACACTTTGGTAAGACTGTTATTAGTGTAGAAGTACATCTGTTCAAATTGCGAGGGCACAACAGAAACTTTCTTACACCCTTTAAGATGTGTATCTTTTTTTTTTTCCCCCCACGGGCTTTCAACAATACCTAGACATGACGTCTTATATGTTTTTCTCAACAGTGTGTCATACTGACTGAAACAAGGCTGTCGCTGCAGAAGAAGATTAATGATTTTTGTCACGCTCAACACCCCCCTATTAAGGTGAGCTAAACGGTGATGGGTTTCTTGGTCCAGATCCTCTCTGTGTTGAGCCATGTGTGGAGGATTCTTCCTTCATCCTTCTCGTCACACGGAAGCGAGACAGGGAGAATGCAGCACGTTGCCTTCCACAGAACCCCTTTCCCTGGCCTATTTTGGGGAGACTATTTTGAGTGGCACAGTTCCCTGCGTAGATGTCCAAGTAGCTACATTATCTTTCTGGAGACACTCCGCAGCTTGATGGAAAGAGCTGCTGAAAAAGGAGTTTCAGCGCTTTAGAGTGAAGTGGTGAATCTAGGATTTGAGACGCATGAGCTCAGACCAAGTACAAGAGATGGTGACTGTCTTCTCTGTTAGTTTTGCTCGGTGCGGATGCCATCTCTGGTCCTAGCTGCATGTGCTTGGTTAGAAAGATTGATGTGGGCCCAAACGCTGTCTTTCCGCACACTGTCTGTTAGATTCAATACAATGCACAAGGTGGAATTTATACGTCCATTAGCAACATTTGATGGTATCTTTAAGTGATGAGAACACTTCTGTTGGGTGCACAGCTGAGAGTTATAACTAGTTTTCCCTTCTTTTATAGTTTATCAGTGCAGACGTGTATGGCATATGGTCACGTTTGTTTTGTGACTTTGGTGATGAATTTGAAGTGCTGGATACTACAGGAGAGGAGCCAAAGGAAATCTTCATTTCAAACATAACACAAGTAAGAGCAAGAAATCTTACTTCCATCATTTGACTTGGCTTTTTGTTTATTATGATTTATGTTTAACTTGATGTTGTCTGTGTGTAAAATGGCTCCTTTTGGAGGCTGCATCTGATCAGTTCCAGAATTTCAGGAATGGCTTAGGCATTAGTGGACAGAATTCTAATTTTGTGAAAACTGGAAGGGAGACGCAAGGGAGCCCCTCGTATATCTGGATAGCAGACTGAGCTGTATCCGCTGCCTCTGTAATTGTGTGTAAATCACAGTTGTTGTCAGCCATGAACAGCTTCCAGTATAATGATACCCCCCCCATCTCAACTTTGCTCATACCAACTCAAGAAGTGTGGGAGTAAGGAGTGGGAGGGGAAATAGAAGATCCAGGTATGGGGGTGTATAAAGGCCTTGGCATGGAGGAGAGGGTGTGCTGGGGCTGCAGGTAGACCCTGAAGTAGAGGGACAAGGGAGGGTGGCACGCAGGGACCTTTTGGGGGGGAATACAGGGATGGAAGGAGCCCCTGGTGTGTGCAAAGAGCTCAGTCTGCAGAATCTATGACCCTGCTGTTGTTTGTTCGCTACCTGTATTATGATAACACTTAAGATCCTGAGGGGCCTTGTTTTGCTCCTAGGCACTGTACAGACATACAATAGAAGACAGTCCCAGCCTAAGAAAGTTTATCCTCTAAATAGACCAGGCAGACAATAAAAGTGTATAGACATAAGTTTGTCTGTCTATGCGTGATTCTGTCTGTCTTGTCTGTTCAAGACCTCTTCCTAAACGGTAGGGAGCGTCCTCTTATCGTAACTTAAACCATGTAAGGCTTTGGTTGTGCCAGGAAAACGGGATGTGCCTAGAATGGGATTGGTTCTCAGAAAGCCATACAGAAAAGAGACAGAATCAACAGAAAGTGTATAGACATAAGTTTGTCTGTCTATGCGTGATTCTGTCTGTCTTGTCTGTTCAAGACCTCTTCCTAAACGGTAGGGAGCGTCCTCTTATCGTAACTTAAACCATGTAAGGCTTTGGTTGTGCCAGGAAAACGGGATGTGCCTAGAATGGGATTGGTTCTCAGAAAGCCATACAGAAAAGAGACAGAATCAACAGGCAGGTGAAAGGGGCTGGTTGTCAGCGCCCCCATCTGCAACTGCCCAGCCCTGAAATTCCCACTTTCCAGTTGCCCTTTAGGTTGGGTGAGGGGGCTGAAGCTCCTCCCTCCATCCCCTAGTTCATGCAGGAACATGGCTGGCTGTTCCCCTTGGTCAGGGAGTGAGGGGACAGTGCCCAGTTTGCTGCATTCCTCACTCTGGCTGGGGAGCACGGGGGCAGATGAACCTGGACCTGCCCCCGACTGGGGACATGTTCCCCCTCCCCTGGCTGTGCCCGCTGGAGCTGTAGCAGCCATGGAGAGGGGCTTCTCACCTGGCCCCAAGCTGGTGTGGTGAGAGAGGGCTGGGGTTATCCTCTCTCCCCAGGGCTGCCACATCCTGAACCCTCCTCACCAGCTCCACCCCAGAGCAATGCTTCAAATAAAGAAAAAAAATTAGAGTTAAGGATTCGGGCAACGCCAGGTAAATCTTCTAGTAAAGCGTAAGCCGGATGGTGGCTTGGCAGTGTCGTGTTCATGCTACCATTTTTTCCTTTTGTTCGTTTAAAAAAATGGGTGTACATTTCTTTCTCGTTTTGTTTTTACTGCTCAGACTCTGGTTACAGACTTGATCTGTCTGGATTGCTGTTTTCCAAGCTTTGTTTTTACAACCTGCTTGGAGTACAGTGGACGATGATGCTATATAGTGCAACAGAGGTTCATACTAGCTCCTCGCTTACAGATGCTCCCCTGGGAGCAGCAAAGATTTCCTGGAGATAGGTGAAGGAGGCAGAATACAGTGAGCTTGGCCAAGGAGAACTGGCCAAGAGGTCTCTGTCATCTATTGAGGGTGGAATGGATCCATAGATCTCCTTCCATTGTCCATTAGATGAATGCCTTCCTGGATGGGAATTGGTACTTGCAGATTTAAAAGTGGTGTGGGTGATGTAAACCAGCTTCTTCAGGGAGTCTTTCTGGTGGGAATGCAGAACTGAAGAAATGAATTAGGAGTCTGCTGTGGAGCAGGGCAAAGCCCAGGGATTTGTTAAAATCATGTACTGTACTTCTATCCAGCGATCTCCAGTGTTTTTTTCCATCATCTGTTAGGGGATTGTGTTTTGATGAAGTCACATAAGTGTTAGCAGTTTGGGGTATATAATTCTGGAGTAAACCTCTGTTTTTAGGGAAAGGAAGGGATTCGTAGCCGGTGTCTTTCACAACCTGCTTTAAGACATGGCTCTCATTCTGTCATCAGCCCTCTTTGCGGTTTGGCTTTAGTAACAAAGGTTTTAGCAGTAAGGTAACAAAGCCCTGCTCCTACCTCCTCTTCATGTTGAGTTGCTTCTGAGGTTACACTGTCAGGACCATTCCGCTGTTTTCTTCCTTGCTAACTTTGCGGTCGATTCCGTTTTCAGTCAAATCCTGGGATTGTCACTTGTCTTGAAAACCATCCTCACAAGCTTGAAACGGGACAGTTCTTAACCTTTCGGGAAGTGAGCGGAATGTCTTGTTTAAATGGATCTACACAACAACTAACAGGTGGGCTTTCTATCTGCTGTTTTACTTGTGCAAAAAGAACACTTTTCATTGGACGATCTGAGAATTTTCCCTCGTTACAATGCCAGTAGGTTTGCAGCAGGATGCATGCTGATACGCAGGTGCAGATCAGTACTGAATTACGGTGTCTCTTGTTTGTGGAGTGCTCCACAAATGTTCGGCTAGACTGGAACACATTGAGGTGATGTGAAAGGGTGATTTTATACAGTATGTATGAAGAGTTTGGAACCACTGGGTTTGGGACTATCTACAGTGTTTGGATACCTGATAGTAGCCTAGAAACATGGAGCTCATATCACATCTAAATCTCAGTCTTCCTGTAAAATTTTTAAAGTAAATTTTGAGGTAAAATGTATACATTCGGAAGGGGAAATTTACTACGTGCTTGTGTCAAATTATTTCAGGTCTGTTCCGCTCTTTGTCAGGGACTGCCAAATGATAGTACTTAATATTCTGTCGTAACATCTAGTTGTATTAATATCATGTAGATTTTGTAGAGCAGATTGTCTGGAGTGACGTCTTATCCTAATTGTATTGGAGGTAGGAACTGGGACTCCAGAGCACAGAGGCTGGTTTGAAATGTCTGTCTTGTTTTGAGCTCTTCTGAACTGAACACTTCTGTTCTTTCCTTCTGTCTTCCCTGGTTCTCCTCAAGTCCCTCTTCCCGCCTTTGACTTCCAGCTTGCTAAAGTACCCTTATGTTTACAGCTGCAATTTTGCTTGGAGGTCATGGACATTGTGCATCTGAAAATGAACGTAAAACTACATTTGATTAGGCCCCCAAACTCAGTGGCATTGCTACTTGATGTGTGTGGGTCACAGAACCACTCAGGTTGGGCCCCAGAGAGATGGAGAGGCAGAAAAGGCAAACCTGAGTGGCGCTGTGATGCATGTGCCTGGTCTCAGTGTCCCTAGCAGGGAGCCAAGCAGGTTGGGTGGGCTTGTTGTCCAAGTCTCCTCTTCCTCCCACCCACATTTTACCTCTTCAGCACACCCACTGTGCTCTTGTGTGTGTTAATGTCGCAAAAACTGCATTATTTAATCACCTTTCCATGGCTTTCTGATTTTTTTTCCTCTCAACTTTGTCGTGAAGTTTACTAAAAATTACTGTGCCAAAATCGTAGCCTTACTGATACCTATTCCCTAACAGTAGTCTTCCGTAGCTAAGGGTATGTCTACACAGCACCCTAAACTCGACATAAGGTATGCAATTTGCACGACACAAATTGCATATCTTACTTTGATTGTATTTTGAAATAGCGTATTTCGAAATTTAGCGCGTCTACGCAGCGCCAAATATGAAAATAACATGCTATTTCGAGACATCCCTTAACCCTCGTGGAACGCGCTGTGTAGACGTATCTCAAATGGAGTTCTGATTCATGAATTTTTGAAAAGGGCCTGGTTTTTGCTCTTAAGAGGGCCTGCTGCTTTGCAAATATTCCTGCCCTGTCGTCATGTTGTTTTGCGATGGTGCTGAGCTTGGTTGATGGTGCAAAACTGAGTATTGATTGGGTTAAGTTGTGTTGCTCTATATGTCCAGTCCCAGGAGAAACTAATACATGGTTCTATTATGACCAAATTAATAGAGTTCCTTGCACTTTGATGGTGTGTGTGTCTGTATAACAGATTGTTTTAAACTAATGCTTTAGGTCCATGCCCGGGAAAAGGCATGAAATATTGAAAAATGGGTTACCTACACTGACCCCCATGCTTTTGTAGTAGGGTTGAACTGTAGCAATTGCAACCTGAAAAGAAACAGCGAGAGAATAGAAGTATTAGCAGAAATTATGTACATTTCTGAGAAGTGGAATAACTGTATGTATCTAAGGTGCTTATTACAAGACTTTGTCACCAAAATAATGGCTAATCTTTCATCTTTCCAGTGGTGTCACCTTATTCCTTCAGCATTGGAGATACTTCAGATATGGAACCTTACTTACACGGAGGCATAGCTGTCCCAGTAAAGACACCCAAAATATTTTGCTTTGTAAGTGTTCTTTTGCTGCTGTATATTTTTCTTCTTAATGAAAGCGTGTTTATAAAAAAATGGAAAGAGAATTGAGTGTTTAAGTATAGGTAACTATAAATAGCATGGATGGCTAGGTAACTTTTTGGCTCAGAAATATAGTAATTTCCTTATACAACTGCAGAGAAGCCTGAAAACTGCAATTTACATGGGTTATTCATCAGTCCAGGAGTGTTTGAAAAGCTTCTTTCTAACCCTAGCACAATGGAATGCTCTAGGACTGTCTCTTGGCTGGCGTGCTAGAGGATACGCAATTCTCTCTGTGGCATACGGAGAGGACAGAACTGCGGGATTGCATTTCACATGTAAAGATGTATAGCATTTCCATTGATAAATGACTACATGCAGAATGGTGTTGTGACAAGCCCAAGTTACTAACTCATGTCTCTAAATGTTAATGCCTTGCCACTCCCCCACTCTTAAACCATTTGTTTAAGCTAGGTTCTACACCAATTTTGGCATATCTTAACTTCTCAACTGTTCTCTGCTTTTAGTGTTCCCCCTTCCATCATTAGGTGCACAGCGGGTGCTAAATGCACTGGCTTATCACCTCTGGAGACCCGAATTCAAATGTTGGGACTTGCCATAGTTGGCATTGGTTCTGCTTTTAGCAGGAGGTTGGATTAGATGACCTCCTGAGGTCTCTTCCAACCTAGTCTTTGATTCTGATTCATTACTTCAACATGTTTGTTCCCAAACGATTTCAAGAGCTCCTAATGGACAACCAGAAACAGCAAAATGTGTGGGAGATCCATCGTGTAAGCCTCTACTTGATGATACGCACTTGCATGTATCTAGTCTATCCTTGGGCACCCAAAACCACTACACAACTGGCTGCTGCTGTTGAATCACCAGTAATGACCGGCAGCGGTCTTGCTGGGATACATATGGCCAATAGGATATCAAAAGTGGAAAAAATGTCAGTTGTAGGAAATTTTTGAGCAAAAGTAGTAATACATCCACTTGTGTAGCATTAGTGAAATGAAGAATAATAGACATGGCAACACTGAAAAGGACTGTGCAGCTTTCAGTGCTTCATGTGTGGTGCTAGAGATCAGTTGCTATTGGTTGCTTATTGTTTCATTGTTCCGTTTATTGCCCCACGGTAGAACAAGATTTGTATGATTTGTGTAAAACATTCTGTTCAGGAGATCTTGTTTTCTTCTAGGAACGGCTGGAGAAGCAGTTAACAAACCCAACCTACCTTCTTGCAGATTTTAGCAAACCTGAGGTAATTAGTATGTGGATTTTTTTTTTTAAAGACTAAATTTCCCATAATTTTGCAATATGAAGTTGCTTATTAATCTAATTTTGTATTGGTTGAATGTGTATGTACTGGAAAGTATGGAATAGGAAGGCAAAGGGGGTCTCAGTGTGAACATAGTAATGTTACATGTATGTTTTGTACTGTTGCTGTAAAAGCTCTTGACCCAAAATCCTGTTGAAGATTTTGTGGGAAAACGTTAAGAGCCAAATTCAGTGACCTGGTAAGAAGGCTCATTTTTCTAGTAAAACATAAGAACAAATTTAAAATATGAGAGTGCAGAGCTTACAGAGCATGGGGTTTAGTGATGGTTATGGGGCTGCTAAAGTTACTCTACAATTGAAATGTGGAAAATAAAAATAAATCTAATGTAGAGGTACACTGTTTTGTGATTAGCTAGGGCTGCTAATCAATGGTTTCTGCCACTGGAAATCTGAATGCTCGCTGGTGAGAAATCTTGAATTCTTCTGAGAGTGTTTGCTCATGTCCAGTCCATACATTGGTGCCAGAAGTTTTCCCCTGTAGGGAAGCAGCTTTGGCGACCTCTGGAATGGCGCTTTCATGCCATGGTATAAGGGGTGCCACGGACTCTCCCCACCCTCAGTTCCTTATTGCTACCAGTGAGAGTACATGGAACATTTGCTGCTCTCGCGTTGCTTATGCTTTGTTCAGACAGACTTTGTGAAGTTGTTGAAATAATTAGTTTTAGTGTTAGTTCCTTAGCAGTATCTCCTAGGGCACATCTAGATTACGTTTTAATTTTGAAAGACGAAATGCAAATTCTGCGGGAATTTGCATATCCTCTTTCGAAATTGAAACGTAGTCTAGACATGCCCCTAGAGTGCTCGGAAGTGCTGTGCTCTGTTTTGGGTGGCCCTACTGATACATTCTGAAAGGTTCCTCGTGCGTGGTAACAAGGTATTTTTTCCAGCAGGGTGACACCAATGTGCACTAGTTGCCTTTCAGAGCATGTCAGCAGGGGCTACCCAAGACAGGCAGAGCACAACGCTTCCGAGCACTTTACACCCCCACTGCTGCGCATTGTCACGGTGTGTTGATGAGCATTCAGCTGTTGATCAGTTCTGTGTAAATCAGACATCTCCTCTTTCTTAACAGGCACCTTTGCAAACTCACACTGCCATGCTTGCGCTGGACCAGTTCCAGGAAAACTTTGGTCGCATGCCGAATATTGGGTAATGTCATCTTACTGCTGTGTGTGTAGTTTATCTTCAGATGTTTCATTTGTTTAATATCCAAATGTCAGACTGTCACAGGGGAATGTGATGGCTTATGGTACTGGTCAGGGACCTGGAGTTTTTCGTCTTGAGAGTGTAAGTTCAAATGAAGGCCAGTTGAGTGATGCTAGAAAGTAACAATCTAACGATTGCTTAATGGCACATCCATAATGAGTTTGGTCCTAGTCCACGGCACTCTCAAAACCCACCCAATAACTGGGCCTACCTGGCACCTCTTCGTCTGTATCAGCCAGCGAGGCCAGGTGTCCAGCTACTTTTTCTGGCCGTCTGTCATTGTGGTTTCCCCCTGACAGAGCAGTGTTGGGGGAAACTTGCGTTGCCACTGTGCAGTACTGTAGCTCTTGCTTGGCTAAAAAGAGGATTTGAGTCTTCACCTTTCACTAACAATAACTTCATACCATTGGGTCTCTGCACACATACAAACATAAATAGCCTTTAGGAGCTTGGCATCCGGTATTGTTGTAAGTTTATGTTGTCAAGTATTATTTGCTTTCAGGTAGTAGTCTAAGCTTATGTTGTCAGAGCTAAAATGCCAATATTTAAACCTTTTTTGTCGATATAGGCAGAAGACACACCTATTTTTGCAGTAAATAATATGCTCTTTAAACAGATTTTAAGATGTATTTTCAACACAATCACAGTTTAAAATCCAGACAAATGTCTTGAGTTTTCTTCCTAGCTTTTTGTATAGGGAACTGTTCTTTGGTCTGTATTCATGGGAAAAAATGCCTTACCATTAAGCTTTCACTACTGTTTTTTCCCTGGGCTTTAGATGCCTTCAGGATGCTGAGGAGATGTTGAAAATAGCAGTATCCATCAGTGAAACACTGGAAAGCAAAGTGAGTAGCTTGGAGCTAAGTAACAGTTACTCTGCAGTGTTGGGTTGGTGGTTTTCATATGTATGCGATTAATGCTCTTATGAGCCTTACTATAGATCATTTTAATACATGTGCCACCTGCCTGGCTTTAGTTTCTAGCACTTGAACTGACTTTTGTTGGTATTCTGAGGATGTGCGAGTTGGCACAGCAAAGGGGACATATGCAGGATTGTTCTGGAGCTGCACTTTTATCCGGCTCCCCTTGTGCACGCGACAGCAGTTCGATTGCTTACGTTTTTCACTTCGGCAGGTTGGTGGGGAGGAGTTTTACAAAGAGGGAGCATATTGCCTTCAGCTAGGGATGTAAATCCCTAGTTTAAAAGTTAGTGGGTTAAATGATACCTTTTTAATTGTTTAACTGGTTAACAAAAGGCTGGTGCAGAGCAGCGGGGGTCCTGCGATGGGACTGTTCCAGGTAGGGGGCTCCTCCAGCGTGGCTGGTGTGGCCCTCTGGTTACCGGGTAAGCATGCCGGTAATTGGTTAACCGGTTAACCTTTTACATCCCTACCATCAACCTGAACACAATGGGCCAGATCTTTAGCTGGTGTAAAATGATATAACTCCATTGAGGAATAGGCCTAAATCTTGAGTGTGCGTCTTAAATGGCACAGTTACCTGGATGGTGACCTGTTGATCATTTCGGTGCTCTCTTAAAAGTTGTCCCTTCTATTTGAGAGTGATTTCTATACTTGGTTGAAATTAACATGGCTTTTTAAAAGGAATTTGGGGCCTGAAGTTCTGCTGCAGGGGAAAATACTCATCCGTTCCTCAGGGCAGGCGTGGCTTCCTACAGGCTGGAAACTCCCTGAAGTCTAATATGGAAACCAGGTTACGTGGCCCGTACATTTTGTGCGGTTCTGGGCAGCGTAAGATGTTTTCTAGAAACCTCTTCCCTCCCATCCTGCCAGCCATTTGCTTTGAACTGCATGTTTTGACCCATCTCCTGTTTGAGGATAGTGGTTTAAGACACACAGAGGGAGCTATTGCTTACATCTAAGATGGCTTTCCTTTTGGTAGCCTGGGTGGCTGTTAGATGAACTGGCCTTGCCCCCAAGTTCCTCTTGGCTCTAGAATCCCCACGTGGTATTCCTGCAGGCCCACAAGGGGAACTTAGCGCAGAACAGCTGTTCCCCACCTTACTTATATCTGGTTTTCCCCCGCATTCACGAACAGGCTAGGGCTCAGAATCAGGGCCTTCTTGGAGGGGCTGTTGAGTCTGAAAAAAATCTTAATCCAAGGTGTAGTAGACTATTGATTACAGCTGCAACTGGAGCAGAAAATAAAAGGAAAGCAAAGGCACTGGAGCTCTTGAGCAAATAAATCCAGATGTGACAAGTCCCCTTTTCAGATTCTCTGAGCTTTATACTTTTCAGACCCATGGAAAAGTTACCTCATTGCTCTATCCGGAGGCTTCCACTAGACTGCTCAAAACCACTTTTAGCCCCATGCTGTGCAGATTTCTCAGCTTTTGAAGATATCGGCCGAAAAACAACATCAGGAAGGAACATAACATGCTAGATGCTTTCTCCTAGGATCGTAGGGCATTATTCCTTAGTTTGTGCGTGTCTTCCCCAAGAGGAAATACACATCTCTTGGCTCCATTGTCAGAAGAGTTAGATGATATTAAGCAGTGGTTGAGGAGACTTGAAGTGCTGTCATATCTAGAAGTGGTGTTTTGGGGTCAGGACTTACTGGCTGCTCCTATTTTGTACATAAAAGTACAAGACCCTGACTTACAGCACTGTCTTCCAAGCACAGAAAATTCTCAGTTTCTGGGAGAAATTTGTGAAATTGTTTTTATTGTGGATTATCTTTCAGCCTCAGGTGAATGAAGACATAGTGAAATGGCTTTCTAGGACGGCTCAGGGATTTCTAGCTCCCCTTGCTGCAACAGTCGGTGGGGTTGCTAGCCAAGAAGTCTTGAAAGCAGTAACAGGAAAATTTTCTCCTTTGCAACAGTGGGTAAGGGTTTTTTCTCTGTTTCAATGTTTAGCTTTATTACTATACGGCAATGGGTATGAAGGTTGTGTCCACATGCTGAAACTGAAGACAAGCATAGACATTTATTGTTGTCGATATCCGTGTGAAGATATAATACATCATCTATGTGAACTTGAACTAGTCTAGATAAAAGGTCTGCCATGCCTGTTGGGACTGGCCTCAAGAATGCAGTTAGATTAAAAAACACTTGGACTCGGAAGGTGCAGGTTGGAGTGCAGGCTGTGGGGTGGGGCTGTGGATGAGAGGTTTGGAGTGCAGGCTGCTTTCCGAAGGACAGGATAAGTGATGGAACTGTCATAGATCAGAAGAGGTTTCTGAATGCTATACCGTTACCAGATTTTTCTCTGGCATAAATATTTAGTTTCAAGTTTGTTATAAACTTTTAGTAGCTAGGAAAAATAAATTCCAAGTGAATTATGTTGTTTAATCGTTTGACAGCAGAGATTTAGCTTTTATCTTTCATAATTAATTCTCCTCATTTCCATGGCGGTATATTGGACTCAGAAAGCGTGCATGTCTAATTGTTTTCTTCTAAATCAAATTAATATGTAAATACCTAAGCAGTCTTTAAGTTGATTTCCATGTGATAAGCTTTTTCTCCCCTTTAGCTGTATATTGATGCATTAGACATTGCTGTATCTCTTGACAAGACCAGTTGCGAAGAATTCCTCCCAAGGTAAAGCTGAAATTTTCTACATATAATAGTGTTTTATGTTCCGAGTCACTTGAGGGTGTGCAATCCCAATTTTTAAGATTTTAACTAGTAAAACTTCAGTACATACTTCAAAAACCCCGCAGTTAATCTGTTAAGGGGAAATTATTCTTATATGGGCATATCTTATTTTTAACACGCAACAGTATGAGTCATGGGAACCTTTCACCTTCTTATCTTAGATAATATTGAAGCACAATGCATGCCATTTATCATGTAGGTTAGTATCATTGTTGCCAATTTACTGTTTGCTTTCTTCGTCTGAATATGTCTGCACAGGGGTGATAAATACGATGCCTTGAGGATTTGCATTGGAGAGTCACTATGCCAAAAGCTGCATAAACTGAATGTTTTCTTGGTAAGTTTGGCTTATGACATGAAGTTGTATTACGTGCCATAAAGAATATCCGCCCTCCCCCTTTCTTTTGGCCATTTCACCTTGGGTTTACATGGTCGGAGCATTCCTTCCGAGTGAGATTGTCATGTCAGGTCTTATGTTGTCTCTGGTCACTAAAGCCCTAGATCGTTTAGGACTTTCATAGTGAAACATCTGAATTTTGCATTCCACGTGGATGTTCACTGTAATGCAGAGACATTTCCATCTAATCTTATGTTGTGAAGAAGTCCCCTGCTATTTTTTGAAGTGACAGGAATGAATGGTGGTTTTGCTCACTTCCTGTGTATTTTCTTTAGGTTGGGTGTGGAGCAATAGGCTGTGAAATGTTAAAAAATTTTGCACTTCTTGGTGTTGGCACTGCCCAAGACAAAGGCATGGTAAGTTGTATGCCCCCACTGGCTTCTCATTACATATGGAAATAATAACACAAGACAGGGCATTCAGCCTTACTGTAAATATTGGCATGCTTTGCATATATTCAAGACTATGAGATGAAAGTGACGATGGAATATAGAGAAGTGAGCTTGTCTCTTTTCCCTCTTTAAAAGAGGATTGTTTGTAATGAAAACCAGTTTAAACACCAACTTGCAGATGCATATTTTAAATAAAAATTGCATCCTGATGTAGTGTGATTAAGGAGTTAGTCTTGTTTTGGGTCAAATTCCCAGGCAGGAGGAAAAGAGTTAGGTATATATTGGGATATTCCTGTATAATTTGGAAGTGTACCTGATGAGCAGCCCTCTGGTGTAACAGTTTGATTTAAAATCTAAGACCTGTTAAAATAGATTATTGTAACAGTTTTAATGGCTCTGGTACCATTTGGCAGGGTTATTTCGCCTTGGAAACAGCAGATTTTTACAAAATGAGCAATGCTGAATAGCTCACGTAATTTATCATTTCAGCTGTTCTTTCTTCCCCTTCTTGCTGCAGGTCACAATTACAGATCCAGATTTGATAGAGAAATCCAACTTGAACAGGCAGTTTCTTTTTCGACCCCGTCATATACAGGTAGACTTTCTTTTTGCATCGGAGTGTCTCTTGTTCAGAGTATGTGCTGCTGCTTTTACCCACTGTGAGAACTTAGCTTGAGTATGTTTTTGTCTGTATTGTCAGAAATGGAGTCCTTGAGAAGACTGAAGGGTGGGGCAAATGGACTTTAGCCATAATAAATCTGATATTTAGACTAATAATTCTATGAATAGCAGTTTAATGGATTCAAAGGGACTGATTCTCCACTCGTATACACCACTGTCACTCCACTGACTGCAGTGAAGTTATTCCTGCTTTACCTAGCTGTGAATGAAGAATCTGAACCAAGGCCTTTTCAGACCATTGAAAGTGGTGCCAATTACGAATATGCAAGCAGCAAACATCTTCCATCAGGCTGCTGTCCATTGACAACTAAAATATCAGAATTACTTACTGAAAAGTGTGGTGAAGCAGGATAAAAAGTAATCCAATAGCAGAAATATTGTTGAGCAGAATTGCTGATCAACTGTAAGGTTGTTTTAAACATTTCATCCCAGACTTTCTGAAATATTGGTATGGAGACCGTGGAGCTATGCAACTAGATGTTTTAAGTTGCAGTTCACAAGAGTCAAATCTACTTGCTTGCTTGTGTGCACCCTTGTATATAAACATATGCCCTCTGAACAATTCTGTTTTCATTCAATAATTAAATATTTTGAAAAAGGCACATAATCAATCATTGGGCTGCACAAAGCAGTAGTTCCTTTTGAAAGCTCGTAAAAGGAGAAAAAGGGTCAACTTTGCATTGTAACCTGCAGTAATCTCAGTCTTTGGAAGACAAATGGAGGGGAGCCAATTTCATAGCTCAGCGACCTTTCTCTAAGGTCCGCATTTAGATGTAGCTGTTGCTAGCAAATTGGGGAAGAAATGGATTCTTGCATGGCTAGAACCTAAACGTATATAGGGCTTTGCAGGCCAATGTCAGCATTGGATTGCACTTATTTCTCGGAGCAAGTCTTGGGAAAGTTAGAATAATATGTTCGCGCAGCTATTGTCCAAGTAGTTGTATAAGGGCATTTGATTATGGCATTTGTGGTCAACCTCATGTAGGTGACATTGCAATAATTCAGTTTGAAATCACAGTGCTCTGGGTTATTGTGTGAGGTCGATCTTGGAGGAACACGGGTTACCGTTTCCTGTCTGTATGCAATTGGAATATGCTTTTAGCCATTGAAGCTCCCTGGGGGTAGCAGGGGATTCAAAAGCACCACAAACAGAAAGTCTGTTGGAGCTGAGACAGATACCACTTGTACCAAACCTTATAGAACGCTTTGTCTCCAGCTTCCCCAAAGCAACACCGTTGCGTCTTGTCTGGAACGGGTGTTGGCCAGGCACTGAAAGCCGATCTCTAATAACCTGGTTTGGATGATTGACGGTGAAGTGCTCATCTCTTGAGTAAATAAGTTGGTTTCCTATTTAACTTTTTATTTCAGCGGTGTGGCTCCAGATTTGCCCATTTTGTATAAGGGATGGTTTTTTAATCCCTAATCCTGGAGGAACTTCAGATTTCATGATCTAAATCTTGCCACCTTGGTTTTAGAATGAATATTAAAATCAAAATGTATTTTTCATTTGATTAGAAACCTAAAAGCTATACTGCAGCAACAGCAACACTGAACATCAATCCGCAGTTAAAGATAGATCCGTATATCAACAAAGTGTGTCCAGCCACAGAGAACATTTACAACGACGAATTCTACACCAAGCAAGACCTAGTTGTGACAGCACTAGACAATGTGGAAGCAAGGAGATATATTGACAGGTGAGCGAGGGGAGATAAGAGGAGCAGATGTGACTCCTGTTCTTTTCCGTCTGTTTTTCTTTCCCCCCTAATCTTTTTCTTCTCTAATTCTAAATGTGGCTTGATAGTAGTATCCTCAGTGTTACCTTGCATACCTTGCGAGAAATGCAGCCACAAACTAAACTGTCTTTTTAAAAAAATGCAGCAAAATCCATCTCTGCTGATAGAAACAGCAGCGGCTCCCGGCAATAGGGGTGGTCTCCAAATGTTTTCTCTGGCATGAAATAGCAGTCAAGAATTAAGGGAAGAGATCCCAGGGAATACCTCAGAAGTGTGGCAAATGAGTGACATTTCTAAAGAGCGGTGAGATATTCAATTGGAAGATGCTGTGAGCTGTATAACGTGCTCAATCCTTAGCGTGTCAGGTCCCTGTCAGTGTTAGAAGGTATGCCCCAAAGGGGACTGCCGCTGGGATCTGTTCGCACCGTGCCTAGCACAACAGGGTCTCGGTCCATGACTAGGCTGCAGTGCTGCAGGAACACAAATAATAATAAGAGATTACGTCTGTCTACAGAGTGAGCAGCGGTTGTTTGCGGGTGTTCTCTGTTTTACCGTCACAGTGTTCTAAAGCAAGGCCCCTGGAAGCTCAAGGATGTCCCGTTTTTTTTTCTCTGAGTGTCTGATACGGGCAGCCTTCTGTGCACACAGATAAGAGTCGTTTTGATTGGAATTCGTTCTACATTATTTTCCTGGTTAGTTAAAACTGCCCGGCAGCGGCACTGTCAAAGCTCCCTGGGCGCAGAGTGACCATGTGACTTGAAAGGAACGTGAGACTGTCCCCGCTGGCGGTTTGCTCTGGTTACGGCCCTCTTTGGCCATCCGCGAATGCAGATGCACTAATGGAAACCCTGAGCGTAGACCGGGGTCGGCAGCCTGTGACTCGGGAGCCGTGTGCAGCTCTTTGGCTGGCCCCTGGCAGGCCACTAAAAGTGCAGCAGGGCTCTGGCTGCCTGCCTGCCGTGGCCCCACACTGCTCCCAGAAGCGGCTGGCTGCTGGCATGATTCTGTGATCCCTGGTGAGGGGGGAGGTGGCTCTGTGCGTGGTCTCTACTCCCAGCGCTGTCCTCAGAGTAGCGCACAGAGACCTGCCCTCTTCCGCCCCCCCAGAGGCATGGAGAGATGTGCCAGCAGCCAGCCCTCCTGGGTGTGGTGTGGGGCCACCGCAAGCAGGCAGCCTGTCTGAGCCCTGCAGCATTGCCGGCCAGAAGCCGCCTGTGGTAAACACCTCCTAGCCAAAGCCTGCATCTCGCACCCCTTCCTGTAGCCCTGCACCCAAACACCTTCCCAGAGCCCCACTCCCCAGTCCTCTGCCCAGATTCCCCTCCTGCTCCAAATTCCCACCCAGAGCCCTCACTCTCCTATACCCCAACACTGCACCCACTTGCAGCTCCCTCCTGCCCCCCAATCCCCTGCCACAGAGCCCCTTCCAGCACCAAACCAATTTTACACATGATTTAACTTGCAGATAGCATGAAATTAATGAAGTACGACAGGCACTGGGTCACTGTGTAATGTCTTGGTGACGACAATTACAAATTATATTCTTAAAGAGTAACCAAGGGGGTGGGAAAAACTAAATAGATACAGATGATTCCATCATCTGTTGTCTTTAAGTCAGAATTTGCTTGTCATTAGCTGCATACCTGCTTTCTTTGTGTGTGCTTAGGAGTAGCTTTGCATGTGATGTGACTCTCAAAATAGTTAATCAAAGGTCAACAACAAAAGAATCTGCTCCTCTTTGGCAGGTTGCTGACCCTGACAGGATATGTCTACACTTGCTCTCTAGTTTGAACTAGGGATGCAAATGCAGACGTTTGAAATAGTTAATGATCTAGTACCATTCATTAGCATGATCTCGCCAGCGCGCTAGTTCAAATCACAGCTGATTCGAACCAGGAAGTGTGCTCTGGGATGTGTTAGTTCGAACCAACCCCCTTGGTTCGAACTAATGTTGTTACTCAAAAATGAGGAGTAACGTTAGTTCGAACCAACGCATCCCAGTGTGCACTTCCTGGTTCGAATCAGCTGTGATTCAAACTAGCGCACCGGCGAGATCATGCTAATGAAGCGTGGGATATTTAAATTGACTATTTCGAATGCCTGCATTTGCATCCCTAGTTTGAACTAGGGTGCAAGCGTAGACATACCCACACAGAGCAGCAAGACTTTGATAATCGGTGATTCACTCTAGTGTGGCTTCCCTCATTTTAAGTGGGGAGAAGCTACACCAGTACGGATCCATCTATAATGGCATTGCCTTGATGTTGGCATAAGTGATTAAAATCCCCACTGAGACCAAGCCTAAGACGAGTTCAGGGGTCAATTGGGGTAGTCTTTTTTGAAGTCTTTCCTACATCTTTAAAATCCATTTGGGCTTCCTGGGTGCCAGGGAGCTTGCTGAATAATGCATGATGTGAAAACGGAGGGGAGGTCGGTCCTTTCCTAGGTGCACTCTGACTGCCCGTTCCAGCCTGGCCTTCAGCACAGACGTTAGAAAGGGATGTAAATGTTCAAAGTTCTTTGTAGCTCACCTTTAAAAATGAGAGTGATTCTGTTCTGAAAAAGCGACTTTTTCAACCCTGCATCCTGAGTTTCCCCCTTGATTGTGGCTCAGTGACTTCCCTATCAAACTTGCTCTGTATTTTTACCAAGATTATGCACCTCACAGTTCAGCTGAGTATTTAGTGCTGGGATAATAAATGCAACAGAAGAACTTGTTTTAAAATACCGGTGTGCACACAGACGAGGGTTGCGACTTCAAAAGGAACTGTAATTGAAGGAGAATGGGCAAGAAGGCAGGAGCGGTCATTGGGGTATAAACACGAGGGTGCTTTCCCAGGGTGTAAAGAGAGACAGTGTGTTAGTACATAAATTCTGTTGTGAATGATCCGTGCAGAATCTCGTAGGAGAGGGCTTGAATGTGGTCTGGACAAACGCTATCAAGACTAAAACAGCATGTTTGACAGCAGGTATTTCTGACTTACCATGATGCAGTCCTACACTTACGCTTTCTTGCTTCTGAATGTTTTGTATCCCTCAGTATTTTTAAGTGCATTTGAATTGGTTTCAGATGCTCTAGGGTCTCGCTGACCTCTCTGAATGCTTCCCCCCCAATATCTTTTAGTCGCTGTGTAGCAAACCTGCGTCCGCTCTTAGACTCGGGAACCATGGGAACTAAAGGACACACAGAAACTATTGTGCCTCATCTGACAGAGTCCTATAACAGTCACGTAAGTCATGAAATATTTACCATGTGTGGTTGAACACACCGCTCCTTTTGTGTTATACTTTTTTCTACTTCTTGTTTACTTCAAACGTGATCCATTTGAGTCACTGAAGGTGCAACTCCTGCTGTTGGAAAGTCAGACTTAAAGATGGCAACAGATATTGTTTTAAAGACGTTCACAGAGGAGAGCCAACACTAATATGTTTTTATGGGTTTTGTTTCCACTGTATAACCAGCTGTTACAGTGGGATTAAAAGTCACTCTGAAATAACTTGAACGCTTTGACATCTGCTCTCATTTGAAAGTGGGGAAGTGAAGCCTCTACAAAACTTCAGTTCTCTCCGTTGTCAAATAGTGTTTCATGGTTCCGTTTTGCTTTTGGAGTGCCTGTCCTCTTGACTTTTAAGTTTTCCGGTTGCAGTGAAAACAGTTCCATTTATAATATCCCTCTTGCCTGTAAAGGGAAATCTAATGCCACTCTGGCGATTAGGCTTTATTCAGGCAATCGAATTGTAATGTTTTTATAAACAGCCCCGACACTCTTTGTGTTTAATGTCAGTTGAACTTCAACTGGCAGATAATATAGAAATCGACAGTGCACTGGTAGTAATATACTTTCACATGTCTATGTACACACTGCTCTCTTTTCACTTCATTTAGCGAGATCCACCCGAAGAGGAAATTCCTTTTTGCACTTTGAAATCTTTTCCAGCTGCTATTGAGCACACAATACAGTGGGCAAGAGATAAGGTAAGTGCATTGCCTGGCAAAGTATACGTATTCATTCTGTATTTAGAGGGGGGGGGAGAAATCATTTTAGAGACTATTACCCATACAACACCCGATTTCTGCTTTTGTTTTTTAGTTTGAAAGTGCGTTCTCCCACAAGCCTTCGTTGTTTAACAAATTTTGGCAAACCTACCCATCTGCAGAAGAAGTCTTACAGGTAGGAATAAATGCTGTGATTTAAAACAAAGGGCTTACAGTAGGGCTCTTATTTTAAGATCAAGAATAAACGTCTGACAAGCAGGAAACTTTAGAGCTGTTGTGTTAGGCTACGACTAAACTACAAAGATTTTTCGAAAGGATATGCAAATTCCTATGGAATTTGCATATCTTCTTCCAATCGCATTTTCGAAAGGATTTTTCGAAAATGAAAGTAGTCTGGATGTGTATTTTTCGGAAGTAAACCCATTTTTGGAAAAAATGCATAAACCTCCTTTCTTTAGAGAGTGGTTTTTTCGAAAGATTTTTTTCCCGAAAAAAACACGTCCAGATTACTTTAATTTTCGAAAGATCCTCTTTCGAAAATGTGATCGGAAAAAGATATGCAAATTCCTGTGGAATTTGCATATCCTCTTTCGAAAAATCCTTGTAGTTTAGACGTAGTCTGAGGCAGTATTATTTGGCAAAATTGCAAAGCTAAAGCTGCAAAAAGAAGAGCATGAAGTGAAATAGTGAAGGCTAGAATAAAGAATATAGACTTCCATTTTCCCTTTTCTTAGTAAGGTAACTAAGGTTAATTTACTCTTCTATTTCATTAAATGGTTGTAAGACAGCATGTCCATTCTAATACTGTTTTTCTGTTTCCCTTTTCTGTTCAGAGAATAAAATCAGGAGAGAGTTTAGAAGGCTGTTTTCAAGCTATTAAGTCACTGAGCAGAAGACCCCGAAATTGGTCTCAGTGTGTGGAACTTGCAAGAAAAAAATTTGAGAAGTATTTTAATCATAAGGTCTGTATATAAAACCTGTTGATGTTGAGAAATGGCTTTTGATTAATGGGGGTGTACAACAAACTTTTTATTTCTCTCCTGGATAAAATACCAACATTATTTGCAAAAAGTATTTCAGATCTGTTTCCTGCAGAATTACAAGAAAATCTTTGCCACAAATGTTACAATTAAAAAAATCTCCAAACCTAGCTCATCTATTCAGAAGGTCTCACATTGGGTATAATCTTGCATACATTATTAGTTGCTTTTAACATAATTTTATTAATCATCCTCACATTAGCTTGGTGTCTTTAGACTGAAATTCCAGGGTGAGACTGACATTGGCAAAAAAAAGTATCTGCCGAATAGAAACCATACTCCTCCAGTTCCACAAGGTGCTCCTCCATTAAAATATGACTAATGCTTTCAGTGAAGAGCTCTTTGAAAAACTTTGTGTAAGCTCAGAAGCTTGTCTTTCTCCAACGGAAGTGAATCTTGAATCTTTTGCTATGACTAATTGTGCATGGCACATTCGCATGCTGTGAAGAAAGCTTTCACTACTTCAACCCTGGACAATCGGGAAGGAGCTCCTTGCGTAAACGTACTTTTCTCATTTTCATACCTGATTAGGAAACTTTCCTGCTGTATCAGAGGGAAATGTGACGACAGTTGGACCAAGACTTCAGAGCACCACAATGACATCTCTCATGTTTTATTCATATTCTGTAGGAAGGAATATTAATAGTACTCTGGCTTTTCTTTTCTAGGCTCTTCAGTTACTTCATTCTTTTCCCCTGGATACACGATTAAAAGATGGAAGTAAGTATAAATAGCCACTGGTACCTCACTGTGATGTGACTTTGTTGTAGGTCACTGTGTTATTCACTACTTAGAATTTCACTTTAAAATTTTCCAACTACCAGGTTTGTTTTGGCAATCACCAAAGAGGCCACCTTGTCCGATAACGTTTGAATTCAGTGATCCTCTGTAAGTATCATACCTCTATTGATATTTTGTACATAGACGAAGGGAGGTTTTGTAGTAGGCTTGTTTAGATATAGGATTCCTCCTATGCAGGTAGAATGCGTAAATGAATTATCACAACATTTGTCCACTATGAAACTTAAGGTTTAGAATGGAGATAGACCACACCAACTAAAATGAGGTCTGCATTGGATATGCTTTCCCGCCCCTGTAAGAACAACCTATCTGTAACCAATGCTAGACTTAAGTGTTGCAAATGACTATACTCAAAGGTTTAATGCCAAAGAAACATGCCAGAATCTTGAGATTTCTCAGATGAAATCCCTGCTTCTTTTGAGAAATGGCTTATACTGCTCCCCGCTCTTGGGAAAAACTCGTCTCGTTGGTGAACTCAGACGCTTAAAAACTGGGGTCAAATGGGAATACAGGGCAGTATGTTGGCGGAAGTTTTGAGCATGTGAATGGTATGCATTCCCTGGAACCAGCATGTCAGTGCATTCGCTCTGTGCAGTGCTGACAAGAATAAGGGGGAGACTTAAGAGTGAATCTCACAGGCCTCTCGTGAAGTTGTGCAGTGTCAGTGGGGTTTTCAGAGTTTTGATTAGAGAGTTTGTTTGTTGTGCTCAGCTGCGATTAGCTGAAATCCTCCCTTTCTCCTGTGTTCCAGCTGCTTTTTTAATGATCCTGTCATACAGTACTACTCAGCCCATTTATGCATTATATAACCATGCGTTATATGGGCTGCAGGTTAAGAACCACAGCTCCCTCCCCCCCCAACTCCTATGCCCAGTGCTCCCCTCCCAGACACCCCTCCAAAGAGCAGGACTGGGACCCTGGATCCCGGTGCAGGGGTGGGCAGGACACCTGGTGTCGCCAGGATTTGGGCCCTGGTGCAGGGCCGGGCTGGGCAGCAGGGAGCCCAGCGTGCTGTGGAGCCCCAGGTAAAATTGTAGCACCCCTGCAGACCCCTAGTTCCTGCCCCTGTGCAGCCCAGTGCCCATCCCTCCCCAAGCCTCCTCTGAGACTCACTCTGGTTTCCGCCCCCCATGGCACTCATTGGCCTGTTCCTGGGAGAAGTGCTACCTAGGTTCTCTTCCCTCCCAGCCA